ACGGTGAGACGGACGTGTAGTTCAGTTTTGGGCACGCGTACGGTGCTGCAGGGATTATATATAGGTGTAGTAGTACCTCTTCGGGCTCTTGTACACCTTTTTCTTGCTACGTGTGCGTGTTCTTTAGATCCTCAGATGGCTCCAGCACTTTCGTGACCACGGGCCGAGAGTCTTTGCTAGATTTTGGCATTTAGCAACTGGCATACGGTTTAATGTGAAGTCAACAACAACAACAACAACAACACATAAGTAAAAAAACTGAGCTGGGGATCACGATGTGCGACGCGTACGACGATGTACGACGCTGGAGTAAGTTATTCGCCGCACAACGTGACTCATGCATGTATACTTCGTACAAGTTTTGCAGAACGTAAAGAGTCTCGACTACAAGCGACAAGCGGAATGTGTGGTATGGGTATGAAATGTTGGGTGTTTGATGCTCCACCACACGAACGCTATTCGCAAGGCGACCAGATGGGGGGGCACGTGATCCTCCATCAGCTACATGGATGAACGCATGATACATGATATGGTGTCATCGACCCTAGAACAGCCAAAACGCCGCCTGCTGACTACAGTATCACCAACCGCCGTCGTGGATATTGTCTGATACCCAGTAGATATTTTCTGCGCCTGATGATCGATCTACTCCTCCGCTCGAGGCCCTAGCCCACTACTCCATCGTCGCAAAATACGCATCGCCACGACAAGCAGGTTACCCCAGAAGTCGTTGACCAGTTGTCCAAGCCGCTCAACGTTTACTTTTACGTCGGTCCTCACGTCGAACCGGAGAAGCCCGAGGTGGGAACCGCGCGCGACATTCAAGTACGCCCCTCTTCCCCCCCCCCCCAGAAAAAAACAAACAAAATAGCTGCTTGAAAACATGTTGGTGCTTCTGATCCCAACCGTTTTCGTTGATCCGGTGGCGAGGTCTCAAGTCAACCATAGATAGATACGTCTCTTGTGGTGCTAGACTGCAAGGGTTAACCAGCAGTCAACCTCACTCGCCCCTTTGGCCCGCTTCTACCCACCCCGCAGGACACCATCACCACGAAGAATCCGGGTTTATCGGCTAGATTCGAGTCCCTGTACCGTCCCATCACGCCCGTTCCTACGGCATCGCCCGCTGGCCGTGGCGATGGTGGCAGAGGAAACCCTAACCCCAGCAGAGGCGTTTCGCCTATACAACACCGGGGCAGCGGGGGGATGGTTGAAGGGGCAGATCTCGGTGCACCGTCGTCTTGGGGGTTCGCGGCTGCAGACTTTGCTGGTTCTGGTGCCGGGTCGGGGGGAGACGTTGTCGCAGCTGAGGGGGGGGGGG